CCCAGCACTGAGTTTGCCTTTGACCCTGGCTTCGATCCCAGCACCGACCCCAGCACTGACCTTGCCTCTGATCCCAACACCGACCCCAGCACTGACCTTGCCCTTCTCAGTGAGGATCTGCTTGTAGTGCAGCCAGCCCTCCTTGCGGACATCGCTGAAGGTGATGCTTCCCAGCTCGGAGGTTGAGTGGCGCTTGGAGCGGATCTCCGTCGGGGCCAGACTGTCAAGGGACTGGGTATGGCACGAGAGTTCAAAGGTCACAGCCGGAAGTGATACTTATCAGTCCAGACAAATGTACTTGGCTGCTTCTGGGAACTTTCTTTTCACGCGGACATCTGCGGACTTGTGCGGAATATATCAGTGTTACTGCTGCCCAAGTAGTAATTTAAAGAAATTAACGAACAGGAAAGGGAGCCATTCATAATTAAGAGTGTGACGGATTACCCTTCACTTGTGAAGAAGCACATTTTGCAAAGATGTTATACTTTGCAATTTCATTCAGAGGGATTCCACATTACCCTTTTTCCCATTGTTTTCCTGAAATGCTTGCAGATTTCTCCACTTAAATGCTAACCTTTTTCTTAGCTTAGGGCACGATAGCCAGCTTCCTGAGAAAATGTTCTCTCTTTCCCATTACATCAGCGTTTTCTGGATTGGGAAACGCTGCGGCGCGGTATAGCGATTCTGCAGGGGAGACATCGCGGCACGCCGCGCTACGCGTACGGTCTGCCAGCGTATGGCGAGCGGAAGGACTCACCCCGTCCGTGAAGAAGCTCTTGACTCTCTTTGGCAATATCCTGCACAGAGAGACGTGAGCATCAAACCCAACGGGGTACTGAAAGTAACGTGATTAAGCACACTAAGTAAGCAAGTCCCACCCCAGTTTTTACTTCCTCTTTCCCTTCCCAGTATCGAAATTCGGACACCATGCTGACCCACCCCGCCCCCACCCATCCCTCACGGGAACTCACGAGAACATGTGGCCCTCGTTCCCAAAGGTGTTGAGGCCCTCGCATGACTTGGAGCGCTCTGTGGTGATGGCCTGCAGGTAGGAGGTGCGGCGGTTCGACTTCACGTTGCCTGTAGGGGGCGCAAGAGATGGGGGCAGGTGATGAAGAAACCGACCAATGTGCAGGGGACGGGAGGAGGGACAAGGGTGGAGGAGCGACCGAATGAGACAAGGCTGGAGGAGATGGGGGAAAGCTTAATAAAAGCATGCCAAGTAAAAGAGGGGGGCGATGATGACTTCCTGTTTGATTACCCCTCAACAGGAAGTACCAAATCAAGTAGATCTGTAAAGATCGTCCACCACTTGCCTTTCGGTCACTATGGGCGGGGCGTGGTGCTGGCTGGCAGAGAGGAGAGGGCTAGCAGGTTAGGGGGGAGGGGGGGGTGTCACTCACTGCAGTCGTGTGAGAAGAGCCTGGTGAGGGGAAAGGCGAAAGTGGGGGAGGTGGGGCTGGTGGTGACGGCGGGGGCGGAGCTCATGACGCTGGACACCACAGAGGAGGCGGGCACGTGGCGGGCACGCAGGTCTGCACTGGGGCTCGTCGGCTCATCTGTCGGGACGGCCGGGGCCGTCAGGGGGCAGGGAAGGGGAGGGGTGAGAGGAGGCAGGGGAGGGGCAAGAGGAGGTAGGGGAGGAGCAAGAGGAGGAGGTTGAAGAGCAGAGTAGCGAGGCACCAGCAGGTTACTGTCACGGAAATACACACACACACACACATACACACACGCTTGCGCACACAGACCTGTACTCATATCTTTGTGGGGACCATCATTCTAGCGGCAAAACCCTAATCCCAACAATGACAACCTTAAGCCTTACCCAGCCCTAACCTTAACCATAAGTAACCAAACAAACTATTTATAGGTTTTTGATTGCAGATTTTTATAAAATTGAATTTCCCCTTGTGGGGACCGCTAATATGGTCCCCACAACATAAAAATAACAGGATTTTATCACATTGTGGGGAGAATTGTGGGAATATCTGACCCACGCGTGCACAGACACTCGGAATAATGCAGTACTTTTAAATATGGTGGGATTGATCATCAATTATTATTTTTCCAGTTGAGGATTATTATACTTAGATTGAATTTTTTTTATTACTTGGCCATTATACTTTAATCTCTTATATTAACACATTAATAATGCTCAGTCAGTGACCAGTTTATGAAGTACACCTGTGCACCACTGTCACTCTCATATGATAGTTCTGTATTTGTGGCCTTGCTGTTAGCTTTAAGGGGCCTGGTCATTCTCCACAGTCCTGTCTCATTGACAAGGTGTTTTCAGCCACATAAACACCGCTAACTGATGTTTTTTTTTTGTTTGTTTATTGCACCAATCTGCAAATTCTAGACCCTGCAGTGTGTGAAAATCCCAGAATGGTAGCTGGTCCTGACATGCTGGAACCTCAATATCACCTACAATCGCGCCACGTCCAGAATCGCTTACGTCACGCATCTCAGCCGTTCTGATCCTTAGACGCACAGTGAATGAACCGCTTGAATGCAGCTATAGCCACGTGATTGGCTGTCTGGGGAAGCAGGCCATTTCTATTGGCAAGCCATCGTTCCTGATAAATACAGTCAGGAGCTGGATGTTCTATCAATAAACATAATAACCCTGCACTGGAGAAGAGGCAAGACAATTTCAAGCTAAAAGTAATACTGATTCAATGATTCACTTAAGTATTAGGTTCATGTTATGGACATGAAGGAATTCACAGCACCTAACCTGCATTCAGTGTCAGTAGCTTTAGTGCTCGTGCGAAACGCTCTCCTCTTGCACGTATTTACGCTCACGAGCCTTGCGCCCATCATTCTATGTACGCAGGGTGACGATGACTAAACGCTAAACCCACGTAGCGATGCCCAGGCGCTCACGCAAAGTGCCTCCTATAGGTTTGTACTCACTGTGCACCCAATCCTGGGGAGGTCAGCGGTGTCTCCCCACCTAACGACACAGCCGGAAGTGTCCCAGGAAGCCCATTCACCCCTCTTCTTCCACCCAGGAGTCAATGTACGCGATCTCTGGAAGCGAGGAGGTCGGTGTCCCCCTCCAAACCCTCCCCCCAGCTATGCGCTATGGCCGCTTGGCAGGAAGAGCCTTAACCCAAAACGGTTTCGGTTCTGCAGCAGCCCAGAGCGAAGGGCGTCTGTGTTCACGTGGGACTCGGTCCAGTCTGGACTGTCCGGCCACCACAGCGCTAGCACACCAAACTCAGCCAGACAGCCCAGCAATACCTGCTGAAGGAGCCTGATTACAGCGGCCGTCACGTTTGAGTTATATTTACATACCGACACTCCCTCCCCCTCCCCCTCCCCCAGGGAGTATCTGAATTAACCGGTACTGGGTTCCTAGGAGAAGTGACTCTGAACTCCTGTACGTTTTCAGGTCCCCTTTCTCAGGAGGGGAGGGGGGGCATGCACGTTCCCCAGCATTCCCTCTCAAAGAGTCCTCTCGCTCTCTTCCCCCGTTTTTCTCCCCTCTCCCAGCTGCTCACCCGCTCACACACGGGCATCGA